ACAGTTAGCTATGATTTAAAAGAAAATATTTACAAAATGTTATTCAGATGGCATCTGACCCCCTTCAAATTGGCAAAGATTTATAAATTAAAGAATAATAAATGCTGGAAATGTGGGACAGAAGTGGGGACATATTTCCATATTTGGTGCGAATGTACCCAGGCTAAAAAAATTGTGAATATGATACATATAGAATTAGAGTTAATATTAGGACAATCGTTAAAGAAAGACCCAGCAATGTATCTATTAAATGTAAATGAAGAGGACAGCTTAGAAAAAGAACATGGGAGGCTTATATTTTATATGACAACTGCAGCTAGACTGACATATGCCAAAAAATGGAAGCAAAATGTAATCCCGGATATTGATGACTGGGTTTAAAAAGTTTATGATTTAATGGAGAATGATAAACTCACACAATTGTTACAAAAAAAAACTGCTAAAAATCTTTAACAAGGTATGGAATCCGTTTATTAAATATATCAAACAAAAATGGGGTGAACTTTGGGTGAAAGGATTGGAAAACATATACATATACAACAGATATTGGAAAAGGGAAGCTGATTAGAATATGTAATCCATCAATAGCAAATGTATTATACATTTTCACGATGAAGTCATTTAGTAATAGGAAACTTTTATATTTACAATGTAATCGTTATATATTATTTGTAAGATAATGAAATAGATACAGTAAAATTATAGGCAACATATTATAGAAATATAAATTAGTATTGCTAGAGGAAATATTTAGTTTTATTAGGAGCAATCAGTTGATAGTATAAGGAAGTCTTTTATATTTTTGTAGTCAATGTTTTGTTTTTAGCTGATTTAAGTTGTGTATTGTTAATAAGTCTGGTGTCTTTTTTATTTTGTCTTGTTATGTATGTATTATTGTTGTTTTGTCTTGTCTGTTATTTTTGTTTTAAAATATATAAGAAAATTTTATATTTTTAAAAAAAGAAGTACTTGGAGAATCAAACACTTTCTGTAGTTTATCCCATATTTCTTTTGCATCAGTTAAGCCTTTCATATGGTATGTAATGCTGGGATCTACAGATAAGCATTTAGCTGCCCTCTTTGTATTTTCATCAAACTGTTGTTAGTGTATTCCTGCTTCTGTGGGTCTCTGCCCATTTATTGCTTTAAATAGTCCCATTATAGGCAACTGCATTTGTATTTTCCATTACAATGTTTTATAATTTGTTTCAATTAATATTTCCCTGATTATTGTGGGATTAGGATTAGCAGAAGCCATTCTCTATTATTAGAGTAGTAAAACCTTTCTTGCAGCCAATATCTTCAGGAGGAGCAGTTTAGAACAAAACAGACTGGGCCCATAACCAAAAAATGTGGGGTAATTTAAGTTTCCTAAAGCTTCAGCTTTTTTAAGGAAACAAAAATATTTGTGTATCAAAATATGAAAGCCAAGCCTGTTAGAGTCTGGCTTTAAATTAGCAGACTATCAGAAGAGTGACTTTACCTAACTATGCTTCCCTAAGAACTTAGACTGACTAAAAAAACAACACACATAGCTTATAGTTCAAAACAATTGGCTGTCCCTGTTGTTGTGTGAATTCAAGTACTTTCTAACTCACTGTGACCCTGAGGAGAACCTATCATGGGGTTTTCTCTGCAAGATTTCAAAGGAGGTCTACCATTGCCTTCCCTTGAGGCTGAGAGAGTGTGACTTGCCCAAGGGCCCTACAGCAAAGTAGGCTTTAAAAACACCCACTTCAGTGTAGGTTATCCCTTACAATTAACTGGAGGAGACTTAGTATCTGTGTGTCTGTGTTTGTGTGTCCATCTGTCTTAGGATATGTATACGAGGGGCCCTCGTAAAGTAAAAATAATCACCTGGAAGTTATTATGGTATATTGATGACATTTTGTTAGTGTCATTATCCCCAAGTGACTTTTTCTTTTCTCAAAAATGAAAAATCTATTGAGGAGTCAACAATTTGACAACACAGATGATGTCATTCATGAATGGAAGAGTGGTTTAAGGTGCAATCTGCAGACTTTTACAAGAACGGTATTTGGAAGGTCAAGAAACACTGAGGGAAATGTATAAATCTGGATGGTGACTACATAGAGATAAGTTAACAACTACAAATCAAAACAAACTTTCTGTCACATTTTTTTAAAGGTGATAATTAAAACTTTAAAATACTCTCTCATATATTAAGCACCAGAGGAGAAGTGCTGGACAGTACCTTTGCCTCCCTAATTCTGTATTTCTCTATGGTTTTATTTCCCATCTGTCAAGGCTACTTTTTCACCATCATTCCAGGGAAAGATGTCTAGTTCAAGACTGCCCTTCAGCATCACTAGGAAGATGAAAGCATTTCTCATTCTACCTCTACCATTATTATTATTATTATTATTATTATTATTTCATACCCACCTCTCCCCATGGATCCAGGCAAGGAACAACAACAATAAACAGAAACACCACATCAGTTAAAAAACATCAGTGAAAATACACATCAATTTAAAAGGACAAGCTATAAATAAATATAAATTAAATAAATATAAATATATTTAAAAGGACAAGATATACCATTTTAAAGGGGCAAATGTGGACACATATTAAAACAATGCACATTTAAAATTCATAATTCCTGCCCCATATTTTGATGGCTGGGCATCTGGGGCTCTCTGGGGCCCAGGAAGGAAAGGATGGTGGATGCTGTTTCTTTCTCTTCCTCTTCCTCTTTCTCTTCTTTTTCTTCCTCCTCCTTCTCCTCTTTTTCTTTCTCTTCCTCTTTTTCTTCTTCTTCTTCCTCCTCCTCTTCTTTTT